CAGGAACCGGTCTGTATGTGGGATCCGAACCCTCGGCGGGAGTGCCACCGCGCTTCCAAGCAGTGCACTGTAGCAGTGCGCCACCAGGCCAGCCCATAGCTCATTTATTTTATTGAGTGTTGCTGTCATCCTTAAGAGTGCTTAGCACATCCAAACAACATTTGTTGATTTTACAGCCAAACAGGACTGTGTTTGTGAGTTTTAACTCTGGGACAGTATTGCTTACAAAGCTTTTGGTGTATTCACTAGACTCTTGTCTAAGATCCTTAAAGGCCAAGCCAACATGGAAAATATCTTTATTTCATCCACAGCACCCGACACAAATCATGTTCATTCTGTTGTCTAATTAACATCTGTTGGAAGATGGAAGGGACAGAGGGACAGGGAGGGAGGAAATCTATATTGAGTGATTAACTTCTTTCAATAAGATTTTTAAAAAATCCTCATTTTTTCACCCCACCCTAGACAATGACTCTAATGTATTGAATACATAAATGTCTCCTTATAAGTGATGCTATGCTGGTTTATGTGTGATGTGTTTTAATTTAAATGAATAGTGCTGTATACAAGATCTCATTCTGTTTATTTTCAGTCCTCACTATGACTTTGAAATGTACATATCACTGGATGGATATCTAGGTTGTAGTTAGAATTCTATACTGTGTATCCACTCTATTGCATTTATGTATTGCCCCAGTGGTGAACATCTAGATAGCCTTTATTTCTCAGCCACCTTATAAATAATGCTGCAATAAACATCTTCACTAAAAAATATATAATGTATATCTCTCTCTGTATGTATACATATATATTCTTAAAATATTCAAGGAGGAGGATTTCTGTGTCATGAAGTGTATGTGAACTGAACTTGACCAAGTACTAGCAGACTGTTCTTCATAATTCCTGTGCTATTCTAAATTCCCACCAGAAGTACATAAGGTCCTAATTTCATAATGTCCTGCTCATACTTGGCATTGCCCAGCTTTCTGATTTTTCCCAAACTGATGGGTGGAAAGCAACATCTCATAGTTGTTTTAATCTGCATTTCTATGATTGCTAGTGAGTTTGAGCATATGTTCACATATAAGTATTTGGAAACTGTATATTCATATCCTTTATCCTTGTCTGTTTTTCTACTGGGTGTTCTATTTTTTTTTTCCTCATTGATTTGTTGGAGTGCCTTGTAGAGTGTTTAGGTACTAGTTCACTGTTGGTTTTAAATGCTGTA